CTCTTACCTTAATGATAGTTGGTACTTTACCTATATTTACTTACTTATTAGACTATCTACTAAGCTCACAAACTTACTGAATACGTTACTACGACTGATTAGTTACTACGTCGATAGTACCTAATCATCAATTATTTAATATTAAGATTAAAATTTTTTAAATTGTTCATAAAATGTCACAAATTGTCTTTTTGTCGCCGTTGTAAACACATTCTTCAATCACTACCCTTCTGACTTGTACACACTTTATTTGGAATATTTCCATCTTTTCATCAATGGTCTTCGGAATCCTATGAATAATCTATTATATAATACATAAAACGAATATCCAGTAGTTAGCACTTTCATTGAGAAAATAACCAAAAATTACATGTCATTGATCACTAAATATTTTTTGTTAAAAATATAGAAGGTAATTTTAATAACATAGCAAATTATTACAATAGTGAATAATAAAATATAATGGCAATAAAATATGTTATTTCATAATTATAGCAGTCCGAGTCTATAAATTTTATACAATAACACTATAATACCATAGTTTCATTATCCGTTTTGCATCAAATATGTTTCACATTATAAGACATTTTTAAAATAATAAATATGTAAAAGATCTTTAGTGCAACAATTGATAGTATTAAATTTCCTATTTTAGACATTTAATTCTTTTACTTTCTTAAAAGCGAGAGTCAATTGTCAATCGATGCTACGAACTGAGAATTCATTTGTAGCATTGACATGGTAAATTCTATGAATATAAAACGGATGTGCCTATTTTCCTGATAAATTATTTCGATTTTCAAATAGTGCAGAAATGTAGACGCACACATGTATCTATAATAATGGGTTTTTTGCAATATGTAGCAAAAATTGAGGTAAGAATTTATGTATCGCATCAATTCTGAACTTATGTTATGTCAAAAATAAATAGACGAAGACAACTGTAGCAGCTGAATATATAAAAAAAATCAAAGAACGTAATGCTACAAAATAATAATTTATACTAATATTATATATGTGGAAGTGTACGTCCTGACGTAGCAGCTTATTAGATCTTAATGAAATTGAACATGAACATGGATTGTAGCAAAAGGACGGCACCCGCTATCTCTTATCTAAAAAAAGAAGATGAAGTAATCAACAGCTAATTTAAAAATATTTTAGACTAATTCATAAAGGGATGTAAATTATATAAGTATAATATCAACGATTATATAATGTTTAAATTTCTTAAATACTTCGCAAGTAAAGAGCAACAGAAGACAAGTCGATGTTGAAAATAAGGTATGTAGGCGAATTTAATTAATTTTATTGAATTTTTATGATTTCATGTAATAATCTTTTAAATTTTCCGGTATAATTTCAACATATTTCGATTTATTAACTCTATTGGTATTCCAATGACTTACGTAAATTATCAAAATTGTTCTAAAATATTGGTTCCTACTTCGAAAAATCAGTTCTCAAAAAGCTTAGAAACCTGTTCTTATTATATGATAACCTATAATAATTTTCTATTTTTCTCTAAAGCTAAAAGTATTAATAGTATTTGGTTTGTTATATTGTCATATAATATATCATTGAATAATTCGGAACTATGAACATACTGTGAATATATGAAATTATTATAATATGCTTTCAGAACGTCCTTAATAAAATATAGGTGCAGTATGCTAGTATACTACCTAAGCTTAATGAAATAAAGACGTATTGTGCTATCGTAAGCGTACTTACACTTCCATCATATACAATCGATAATGTAGCTTTATCTATAGCATACAAACCATGTGGTGATAAAAATAATAAACTTTTATTAATCTGAATAGCATGTGCTTATATAATTGATATTTGAATAGGGGGAGAATTTGTACAAGGTTGTTATGTGTTCACCTATTTTTCTGTACTGTTAGCAATATTAAGATTTAATGAAAGCGAGAAATTAGGAGAATATAGTAACTAAGAGATTTTCATACCATATGGTTGGGAAGCGCAATGCGCGGATGCGTCTAGCACTCATGGGCTGCAATGGCCAAGTATAGGAAACAATATACGCTTGATTGTCACCTTCATGGAAAAGAAAAAGTTATAACTGAAGTGCGAGAAACAGCATTATTTAATATGCATTAATCTTTTTTTTATTCTTAATATCCGACACAAGCTCTAATGTATGTATAATAAATAAAATCCTTATATTTTTTTAAATATAAATGTTATTTCATGGGAACAGATTTTAATAGATGCCGCAACTATATTTACTTACGATTTGTTTTTTTTTCATTTAATTTTTACAAAAACGTCTACTATGTAATTCATAATAAGTCAGAAATTTAAACGAGTATAGTAGTGTTTTTAGAAATTTTGCTACGAATTTTAATTTGCTTCAGTAAATATTTTTTGTAAAAACTATTTCTTGTTTTATTTTTTTATGATAACATCTTCTTGACTTAAGTATCTAATACCGAAAATTAAACAAATTTTACCATTTGTTACGGTGAATTTTGTAAAAAATAGTCTACGTGGGTACCTCTATCTAATTTATTTCAGCCGCCAAGCAGCTATTTGTTCATGTAATTGGAATAGCAAACAAGCTGACGGCCCATCTGATGGTAAGCTGTCTGATGGTAACCGTCACCTATACAGGTACATGAACAACGCTACGGACATCATATTAAAGTGTGATACCTGTAATATCGCTCATGCATTGCCATTCCGGAGGACTGAGATGTCAAGTCTATCCTGTAATTTCCCTACAACCGAAAATCAAACGACTTACAGAGCAAACTGCTTGGCGGCTGAAATAAGTTAGACTGAGGTATCCACGCAAGCGAGTTTTTACAAACTACCTCTTGCTTTGAAAGTTGTGGTTCGGTTGTAAGAAAATTACAGCATAGAGGCTTGACATCTTAGCCCTCCGGAATGGCAACGTTTAGGCTACTTTTTTATGGATGTCACATGGTATATGATGTCAATAGAGTTGTTCAGGTATGTAGGCGACCGATAGTTAATACTTAAATCATTAAGTAGGTTGCCTATTTTTTTATAATTTCAATTACATAAAAACAGACATACTTCATAAATATATCATGTCCATTAAAATTGCAGTTAGAAAAAAGTAATTGTGTAGTTTTCATGTAAATACTAAATTGAAGTAGCTATCTAATTACGGCATCTATTCTATCTATATCGGATATAAAGTTGAGTAAAACGGATCTTAGCGTACATCTAGTAAGGTAAAACGGGTAACCCAAATTCACGTTGGATATATTCTCCGGTGTCACTTAACTGTTACCAAACGTTTCACCAAGGTGATCCTTAACGCACTTGAATAGCTTGTCCTCGCCACAATAGCCGTTTACGTATCGATGATATCATATCGGTACGACAACTGATATAATTACTTTCGAGCACCTGTGGTACATCGACAACATTGTTATAATTTTGGCATTATCGAATGAACTTTGGCACTGAGTCTACTAAATTACAATGTTATTTACAACGTCATTAATCTAACATCACATTTATTGTTTCATTTAATATTTTATACTATACAAGTGATTTTTATAAGCTTACAAAATATTGAATAACAATCTTTTTTTAGTAAATAGGTACTTAAACTCAATATAAAATTGAAGAGGATAAAAATATTTACTTGTTACACATTATACTCTTTGTAGTTTAATATTTTTCATATAATGGCCAATCAATATCTATAATAGGATTTCGTTTATTAATGGAATAAAAAATAATAGAATTTCAGCAGTCTGATTACTCAAGTGGGTTCTTTTAGCACAATAAGGTTCACATACGAGTTGAATCATAAAAATTTTAAAATATTTGTTATTGGTAGGTAATATACGCTAACAATAACATTTAATTGTCGACTGTAATCCCTGGTAATATGAGATATTTTATCGACTTTGCTTAGAGTTATTTATTATATAATTTAATTACTATTTCAATCACGAAAACTATTAATACTTTAAGGATTATTGTTTAGTAGATGAACATTAAAAGAAACAAAGCTCAAAGGATCCTAAATATCTACAATTGAAGTAGGTAAAGTTAAAAGTAAAATTCATTCATTTGTATATATGTGAGTATAGGTAGTAATTGAATAATTTCTTACTGTCTATTGCTTCATATAGTACGTTTCAGTATCTTCATTATAGTAAATTTTTAGTACCTCCTGTATATACAATATCCAATGGAATCAAATAGTCTTTATATTCTATAGTATTTATATCTAAATTAATATCTAAGTCATAAATCGACAGATATGATCATATATGTATAAGATATAGTTAATTGCTAAAAGTAAAGTTGTCCGTGCCTATTAACTGACTAACTGTATGTTAGTACTACATATTGCAATTTATATTTAAACGACTATTTGAATTACTTGTATGGGTTTTGAATGTTTTATACTTAGAATTCTGGTAATTGAAATTCTTAAATTCTGGTAATATATTTCGGATAATTTCATAGCAACTTAGTAAACAACAGAATAATGGATACATATATAGATAATTCATGAGCTTCTATTTCTTAGATAATAATAATAATTTTATCTTATTCTAAAGAATCTTATTACATAAATACTTACATAATATACTAAAAGTCCTTGTTTAGGTGAGAATTTGATAACCTTGTTTATAAAGTTTATAAGTAGAAAAATATTTCTTCGAAATAATTTGAAGTCACCTACCTAAAGTCAATGTCATTAATTTTATTATATATTACAAACGTTCACGTGTTTCTAAATATATTATTAATAGTTCAGATTCTTTGGCTTCACTTTACACAAGATCATCTTCATATTCGTATCATATATCGTCCGCATCAAGAATAGGTGGGGGTAAAGGCGAAGGTGGTGGAGGGAAGTAGCGGTGCGTGGTAGTTCCGAGGCCATGGTCAGTCACATTCACGAAGGGCGGATCGAGCACTACTCGGACGGCACGTTGTGGCATCGCCTGCAACGGAGCCGCTCTAGGAGCACGATGTTAGCTGCCTTTAGACACCAAGTGGTAAGGAGCATGAATGGTGGCTACGCTACCTAATTCAGTCCTTCCAAGAAGCTCCTCTGGGTGTTCCACATCATGCTCGCGACGTTTCTCTTCATTGGTATAGTATTGAGCCGCACGGCGTCGAGAACAACATAATGCACCAGCGACAGCTGCTAAAACGGCAATGCACAGCAACATTAATCCAGCTATGACACTCATCTGAGCTTCGTGTGTACTAGGACAAGGTTCTAGACGATCAAATGTCATATCTGCAAAGGTTACTCCTCGTAATTTCATAGGAGAATAACACTTAAGGTGCCTTATCGTTCCATTTAATACCGTAGTTGTCATATAAACTAGCATCGTCCCAGCAGAACACTGATCACATCGCCAAGAATTTTTAGATAGATCTATCTGTGCAATACCTTCTAACCTTTGTAGATCCTGTTCGTTTAATATTTGCAGTTTATTATGGGATATATCTAGGCGCTGCAAAAATTTAGTTTTTGTAAGTAATTTGTATGGAAATGTTGTTAATTTATTCCATGATATGTCTAATGCCACCAAATGTTCATTATAGGTGAAAAAATTTGGTGGTATCACCTCCAAAGATAAATTAGCAAGACCAACTCCGTGTATGTCAGGTAGAATTTGAAGAACTATAGCAATTTCATTGAGAGGTAAATTGTTGCCGCTAAAATTTATGGTCTTTAAAGAGTCTACGACAGGAGCAAAGGTTTGCAAATGAAACTTGTCAATTTTATTATGGCTTAAATCCAAATGCACGAGTGTAGTTAAATTGGTGAGGGCTGCTGGCGCCAATAAGGCGAGACGATTACGTGCAAGTGATAGAACTCGTAGCTCGCGGTTCCGACCAAACATATAGTCCACTATTACAGATAACTGGTTACCGTCTAGTCTCAATTTTTTTAATTTCTTAAGACTTATAAATTCGTCTGATGTCAAGTATTTGAATTGATTCTCTCCTAAATCTAATTCGTCCATATGGGGTACTAAATGGTATATTTGAGTATTAACCCTCCTAAGAAGACATCTTCTACATTTAAATACTCTCAAATGTTGTATGTCTTTGAAGACTTCTGGATTCAAATCTGCCAGTGGATTGTCACTTAGGTCCAAGTAAAATAGTTTTGCTAGCATTCGAAACAATCTAGGTACCAGCGTAGCAATTTTATTATTCGATAAAACCAAAATTTTCAACGATGTAAGATGTCTGAACGTTTCGCTAGGCATCTGCTCTATTTTATTATGATCAAGATGGAGCTCTGTGAGATTAATAAGACCACGAAAATTATCAGTTCCTATACTAGTTAAATTATTGTGGCTCATATTAATTAATCTCAAATTTTGAAGACCCCAAAATGAGTATTGTCCTATGGAAGGAATATTTGAGTTAACAATGTGAAGCTCTCGTAAGTAAGCAAAAGGCATAGGCTGGGTGAAGATAGGACCAATAGTTAAAAAGTTAGGGCGCTCTGGAGGAGCAGAGATTATAAGTACTTGTGCGGTTCGATCAAGGAAATCCACAGGCACTTCCCGCATATTTCCACGAATACATGATATTCGCAACTCTGTGCCTTCCTCGGGATCAAAAGTTGTGCGACATGTACACTCCTCAGGACAAGTAATCTCAGCCCCTTCACTGCTTATGGCCAACAGCAAAGTTATGAAGCCCAGTAGCCAAATTTGACTCCTTGCGATTCTGAAACAAGAAGATAAAATGAGATTTTAAAAGATGTAAATTTACATACATTGTTATTTCTGACTAAAACGGCAGGAAAATTTTAATCAAGATAAAGCATAAATAATATAGTAGCATAAAACAATGGGTCAATTCTTTATTGCAACCGTAAGTGATGTTGTAAAGCATGTGCTAATATTAGGACAAATAAAAAATCTAATCAATATAGTTAGTAAAGTACTTTTGACATTTATGGTTAATATCTAATCATTACCTGAAAAAGTGACATTCCACTTATATTTTGCGTTTTTAAAGATATCATACACTCAAAATAATTGTTATTATGTAAGTACGATATTATTTAATATATTAAATGGATTTTGATATTTTGTATAATTATCTCTTTAATTATTACATATTCTTTTTGAAAAGAAGACACTTCGATGAGTTCTGATCCCGCGTTGGCAACTATTGACAGTGAGGGTGAATTTGTTATATAAACTTTTAAATTAACGCATCGGTGCTTTCAACTCTGCGCTAGCATGAATGCACCCTTCCGTTATTGCTACAAATTGCTAGTTCTATAGTATATAAATAATATTATAACAGGTAATATTTAGGATTAGTACACAAATTCAGACATCGCTGACAAATAATATTAATTATATTGATATATACCTATAATAATACCATAACCCAACTAAATGAATTAGATATACTCAGGTGCGCTTAAAATTCATGTGTACCTAATAGTTCCCCAAAGATTTGTCGAGTCGGACCAAATAAATCATGGAGAATTAACGCAGCAAAGTGTAAAAAACTTGCCTAAATCCTGTGAACTAGGCACGAGATTACAGTCTTGTGAAATATGCGCCTCGCTTTGTTCGCGGATTCCAAACCCCCTGAAAAATAACGCGCAGATAACAAAAGGCTTTTTGACGCAACGACTAAGCGGCATCCATTACCCAAAATTTAGAAATATTCATTTTCACCTTAATGAAAAAAATTAAGTTAGTTCGGCCAATATAACAAAGTTCTTAGTTTGGGGTATTTGCATAAAAATTAAAGTTACCTTTTTCCTAATTTTATACAAATCTTATTAGAAAAATAAATAGATAAGGAATTTGACTAGTGGTTTAGGTTAAGACTTATATCTATCAACAATAAATATGATTCTGTAGGTAGCATACTATATTTTCCATTGTGGGTTATAATAACCACATTTTAATTACCAAATTATAATAACCAATTTTATTTCTACCAAAGTGAACAAAATACAGTTTAATTTATATATATACGACCGAAGTGGGAGCGAGAGACATTACCTAAAGAGTTTGGCCCATCTGGAACCGTAAGTTCTATACTAGAAAGTATATCCAAAGCTGTAATCGTAGGCTCCTATCATATTTGGCCAGAGAGTGGCGACACCTTCGACAGTTTTGAAGTAGATACACAAGGGGTCTCTTGAACCTAAACTCAGTTCACAAGTTCCGGGAACTGAGTTTTCCTCTCTGCCACACGCGGCTTCTGCATGCGGAATCCATAGAATGCTGAGAAGGTTGTTTCTATTAGGTAACTCTTAATCCTCAAAAAATGCTATGGCACCTCGAAAAAATACTCATATAATACATAAAATACTCGAAAAAATTGCTGGCAACAATGCATAATACTTGACTACAATATTTAAATAATACTAACATAGTACAATATGTTTCGATATTGTAAAATCATTTTATAAATAATATAATTGAAAGAGATGTTAACGAACACCTTTAAAAAGAAAATAGAGTCTAACACTGATTCTTCTTCTATTTTTAAAGCAGCTAAAAAATTTAATTACGATTACATTGTTTATAGAACAATGTAATTGTAATTAAATGTTAGATTAAATAGAAAAGTTAGACTTCTTTTTAAAGGTATGTACCAAGAACAGGAAAATTCTAACGACGTCACCATAGTTATTTGAATCCGGAGAAAAACAGAATACCTACTCTAACTGCAACACATAAACTTCAAAAGTAAGGTTTATCCTGCACATAAAAGCAGTAATTGCGTACATATCTACAATATGTGTCGTGCAACCGTGTGGAATAAAAAACTGAAAACAGTGCAGGTTAGTTAAATTTGGTTGCATTGGTATGAGTTGAATAAACATTTCATTATTACGATTTATTTTACCCTAATAGCATCCAATTATTATTTGCAAAAAGCAACCACTTTAATATAAAAGTAACTTTTTTTATTTCCATAAATACAAATATATTGACATTCTTAAATATTAGACTAATCGAGTCTGATTTTCGAAAGAAGAATATGCTGAAAAATATCATATGGAGTTAAGACAATTACAGTAACGTTTTCAACATTTCGTAACATACAAGTAAGTAAAAATCAAAACAAATATATATTTCTTTTTAAAATCGTTAAACACGGATTAATCTATCATAGTTTGGTTTAGATAGACGATAGACATAGATACAGTAATTTTATCCATATCAATGACAAAATTAATGCAAAATATGATATCTTCTATGTCCTAAGAACTTTATGCTTAAATTGTAGTATTGTTGACACTAACAAATAACAATAACTATAAAAACTATTATTGTTATTCTTTTGAATATTAAAATATTATGTTATACTTGCGAACATGCACTATTAACCATTCTGCTAAGGTACAAAGGATTTTTTATCTAAAACTTTGAACGTATGTGGAGTATGATCTGAATACATATTATACAATACAAAGAATATGTTTTATGCTTACATAATTTTTTGAGAACATTGTTTGTACAAAGTCAATGGTATATTTTTTAATTATTTTTATAAACCACATTATGGTGTAAAAAAATATTCCGATTTTCTTCTTCACAACAAATTAACTACTATAAATATAACAAAATAGTGTAGAGTGGCTACTCGAGAACTTGTCTCATATATCGGTTATCGATTCTTCGATGTAGGTACCTGCCAATGACGAGTTGCTGATGCATCAGGCTCTAATAGTCACTTTACCTCTTCTATTGGTCCATATTCGCGTTTCGGTTTCTATCATGGAATGTAACTATGAGTAGGTAACTGTAAGTATATATATATATATACATAGGTACCTGCTTTCGACATTGTAATGTTACACACTGTATATCATACAAATGTATTCATGAGTACGATTCTTTGTGTCCGTCTGGTCGATTTTTATGTACAACATGTGTGTATTGCAAAAAAAAATTATCTATGTATTTGTATAAGTAATCTAGTACTCATAACACAAGCTTTAGCTAGCTTAACTTGGGAATTGTCCAGAGATTATTAATATATTATTATTATTGCCACAAATTACTTCCCAATTTCCTATTTATTACATTAATACATTATAAACTTACTAATATTATTAACTAACTATTATTATTACTTTACATAACATAAATTTTTATCCCTACATTGTTACTCTACAAACTTCACGACTCTTAAATTCACTGCCCAAAAACGTCCATCCGTGTTCTCTCTAATAAATGTGCCTTCAAGAAAAAAGGTCATGGTCATTTTTTAAACCTTTTATCATACAACCAATAGATCATTATCCTATACGTTTTGAGGTATGTGTATACTATTGTTTTCACTATTTACATATAGAACTTGATCTGCGCTTCTATTTGTATATCATATAAATAGATACAAATGGTAAACTTTCATGATTTCGAACAATGACTTTCAAAATACTTGAATTTGATTAATCTATCAAGGCGATTTTACCAACACGAGTGACTTCAGTGCATCAGAAAAATTGTAAAAACAAAAGCGACACTAATGCAGATGCAAAATCACTGTGACTAAAATCAATATGTTTGTTTGTAAAGCATTCGACCAATGACATATATAAACAGATATATATATATAGTTAAAGCCATGTCTCATGCCACCACCCGTCATTATTATTATCCGGAAACGACCTATATTGAAAATTATTAATTTGTCATACAATAATAATGCTAATTTCCACTTTCAATAAACTGTTGTGTCTGCTTGGTTATAAGTATAAAACATTTGACAATAGAAACTACAGCGTGTCGCATTTTCATTACATACGATTTTAACTCTATAAGAAAGGAATAATGTAAACCCATTTGTAAATACTATCATTCCCTATATATATTCCAATTGTTCTGGTGTTGTCATTGATATACATATAATATGGTTATTTTGTTACGCCATATTTATATTGCATAATTTTTAAGTACATACTAAGTTAAGTCTATCTGTCTATTGCGGATGTCGTTTTTTAAATCAGTATAGCGTTCAAGAAATGTTCTGAAGGAAATTTAATACGTCTTCACTTTTAATTTTATAACTACGAGAAACAAAAAAGTACGTTCACTACGAGCAACCCACAGGGAGTAGGCAGTAGCAAATAGCTGAGGATTAATAATCTCCTTGCTTTTAACAATATAGTAATAATGTATATAAATATTATGTACAACACTAAGACGTTGGCCCTGGAAACTAGAAGCCCGTAAAAGCTGATTAATTTTCCATGAAGAGCTTATTGTTTGACTGTAGACTTTTTAGCCTTCGTTGGTGTTGGTGGTAGTTTTTTTATAAAATTTTAATGCAAATAAGTTGAAAACCAACCAGATGATGAGTGATATCCGTCGTCCTATGTACATGAATAATACAGGTAGCCATTGTCCACAGTACTATTGTAATTTTTATATATAAAAGTTTTTAAATGGGATAATGACACACTCATAGAGGTATGACAGAAATAATGAAGGTACATATACCAATTTGCTAATTTTAATGGCCCATAAAAAAAGGTTATATTTATTAACATATACTCTTCTATAGTGAACGCCCACCCCAAATAAATATAATAAGGTAGAAGCAGATGATGATTACTATACCATAGTGGTTTGAGGTCATTTCAGGACATTTTAAATTCAATATTTTTGAGTTTTAATTAAGATCAAAAAGTTGTACTTATCTTTATGTGTATATTTTCTAGCCTAATAGAAATAAAAAAACATATATATAAAGTAAGTGATACGCGGAAGCCCATCAACATACCAATGATCGTCTTTTTAAGACGATATTTTTATAATTGACCTTAAGATGAATATACTCGTAGTCTCCTTATACTCTTTAATATTCATTTTATTTTTAAAAATACATGTATTTAATGTCCTAATGGTTAACAACTTATTAAACAATATGCAAAGCGAAATACAAAGTAATAACTACAAAGTTAACTATAGTTGCGACGGTACGATTGTATTAATATTATAAATTATAATATTGTATTTACCAAATTTAAATAATTTGTATTTATATGCAAAGACGAATAATCGTCTTTGAATAAATATAGAATTTATGAAACTCACCCCGTTGTTCGTTGGCTATCTGAATTTCATTTACGATGCAAATTCGAATGAGTGAGCCACACTCGCCAATTCAAAAGATCATAAATGGCAAAGCAAAATTTTTCGCTGTTGTTTTAATCTTTAATATGGGAGATAACGGGTTCATGCTGAAGCATCATAAAGCTGTAGGAGTTCACTAGTTATTTATATCTACATATAAAAATTCACCACTTAGGCATAGATACTTTCTACAACCATCTAGTGTATAGTTTAACTTGAATGATGGATTGGTACTGTGAATACATTACATAAGGGGCATAAAGGAAAGACGACAAGATGATGATGAAATTCAGTAGTCTCATGGTATCGAATTCAAATTATCTATATATATATATATTGATTACAATTGTATATATCAATCAACATAGATTGTATTAATAACAATCCCCTTCCAGTTCCCCAATTATCTAGGATAGATAGCATCTAGGTATAAATTATAAGATTACAAAAATTGTATTAATAATAGTAGGTGTAGAAAAATCTGTAGATAGTGAAGTAATTAATTCGCAGGCACAAACATAATACGTAACTGGAGCTTTTGGAATATTTTCATACATGAATCTTGGAGTTAGTTCTATAGAACTAACTCCAAGATTTTGTTGTTACCGGTGCTTCCATAACTAGACAGTTAATGATAAATAATATACACATAAAGATGGTTCAGGAGTCTTCCAGACTCAACTCACGATCTTTTCTTTAAACGTTCAGAATAAATATATCTCCAAAATACAAATGAACAAGGCTTCATTTATATGTAGAGGCAAAAACTCCGCAGGAAAAGTCTAATTCTGTCTAATGCAGCTGTTGAACAACTCAAACTTAGGGAGCAAAGTGGTTTGAAAATTTTCCTTTCTCCCAAATAAATTGAGTTTATTGGCCCACCCCCATTCCAGGGAAATGCAAACGCAAGCGACACGAATAGGGCATGAAAAATAAATGAGTAAACGCCATCACTCTTTTCAACTAGGTATCTGCATTGAATTAAATATTTTACATTTCAATTGGCTCCAATTACTTAAATTCTTCAACAACTACCATAGCCAGCTAGTCATATTATATATACTAAAGCTGAAGAGTTTGTTTGTTTGAACGCGCTAATCTCAGGAACTAATTGTAAAATTGAATATATATCGAATTGAAAAATTACTTTTGTGTTGGATAGACCATTTGTCGAGGAAGGTTTAAGCTATATAACATTACGCTACGACCAATTGGAGCGGAACTGCAAAGTAAAATTTTGAAAAAACGTGAGGAAATAAAACGCAGTCAAAATTGCGCGAGTCAGCTAGTGTGTTTATATATATGAAATGCTGTATATATATAATAAACTGCTGTATATGTAAATTATTAGCTTTGTATATTTTATGTGTGTTTTTTAGTTTACATAGTTTGTACCACATCAAATTTATATATTATAAAGTATTACGGTACGTTAGAGAACAAAATGATAATACAAAAAACTTGACATTCATAAGCGGCTTAAACTTCTACATGAATAAATGATTGTAGATTTGATTTTATTAGATATTTCTGGATGTAATTAGAAATTAATATCGTAAAATTACTGTTGATAGTTCACTTCATATATAGTCAGATTAATTAAGCTACTACGCTTAGTGTCGTTATTAAATGTAATGTGAAATAGTGAAAGAAGCGAAGTATAAAAATAATTACCAATAAATTATTTCCTATGCATCCATTTTAAAATAATAATTAATTAAAATAATTTTATTAATATACTTCCCAATAACTTCCTCAGTAAAGTTAACTAAACATATAATAGAATTATAATTATATTCATATTTTACAGTTATCAAAATAGAATCTATCTATCTACAAGTATTTAACACTATGTTAAAATGTATTTTAAATTAGGATTTTTTTTCATCCTTAACCATTTGACGTATATTGTGATAAAGATATATTACCTGTCGATATATAATAATAAGTAAATAATTATGCTGTTAACCATAAATGTTTTCAGTTGCGTACGTCTATATTAAATACTTACTATATTTAACAGCGAATTTGATTGATATAAATTCCTTTTTAAAACATAAAATTGAAGAAAAACTCATAAAACTTTGGACTCGTTTCTCAAAACAAAGTTAACGGGCCAATGATAGAATAAGTCTGGAGTTGTCGTATCTAATTTCACAGTAGGAACAAACAGTTCCCGTTAAATTACTAGTCCCCGCTCCTCGACAACGCCGCGTGAATATCGAGCAGGTATTTAAAAAGCACCTCAGTTTGTAACATCTTGATAAATTCAATAAAGGCCGTATCCGTAAAATCATCAAACATGTTGTATAAATCAAATAGTTGTTGTAAAATAAATATTACAATATATTAATTTTCTGTTCCATTTTTAAATTTGCTACTAATTTGGATGTAAAATAACATATTGAGATTAGTATATCTTAGTATACTCAGACCAAGTATAAACAAACAGATTTACCTACCCCATAGCGAGTACTTAAGTTACAATTTTCAATGTGGTCTAAAGTACATTTTGACATAATTTCCAATTTAATATAAACCCATGTAATTTTATTATATCGTCGCCTCTTCTCTTTAAGTACCGACACCTTATATATATATTATAAGTATTATATAGTGATTATTATTTACGATATATATTACATAAAAATATTAAAGTTTTAGAATGTTCATAATAATGTGTTGTATTTATTATATTACTTTGGTCTTATTTTACATAAACTACGTTTAAAGCATTTCGTATATATTTACCATATGTATTGCTACTAAGCAGTTTTGTCTTGGTATTGCACAATCCCCGAAGAATCAATCAGTATAGTAAAAGTTCCAATATTTTCCTAATGTCTTATTGAAACAACGTTCGTAGAGAATAACTAATTTAAAACATAAATTTAGGTAATGATACAGAAGGTGGCGCGTAAATTACTTTCTGTCGTGAATGATTTGCATACGTGGTTAATTTCTGAGCAACCATTAGTACGATCTGCTTCCACGTTACATAACTATGTTGGACACATTTGTGGAATGTCGTATTTAAGCTATTAGAACCCCATTACGTTGGGTAATCAATAAACACAATGATATTTGAACTAGATCTCCGGTTGTTGGTAATTCACGGATCGACGGATTCGAATCAGTTGAGTATTAAACTATCTTATCTATAGACGATTTCTAATCCTGTCCCATACATTTGGAACTAACACGCTCCGCCGGCTCATTTAAGTGGACATTCACATGTATTTGAGATCCGATAGGAAATATGTTGATGTATATATTAACGGACCATTTAGCAGCGATTGTGTTTCCGTTTCTGCCAACTGGTAATTATGGATTACATATTGAAATGAATCAATAATATATTGCTACTAAATACTCACAAATATCATCACAAGAACACAATCCCAGTGGGTTATGTTCTTGTGATGATATTTGTGAGTGTCATATGCGTCTCATGTCATGGAAAGGAACTGTACTGAAAAATGTTACAAAAAATGCTTATACACAATATATTCTACAAAAATGTCATCCACATAATTCCAGCCATTTTTTCGTGAATTCTTAAGGCGCAAACAGACATTTTTCGGATCATCAAGAGTTAGGACTTTACTATTTATAAAGATTTCATGTAAATGTAGCACATGTTTATGCTAGATATATGCCAAAGTATTTTTTATCAAAGTATTTTTCTAGCATTATAAAAAAGGGTAGCCAATAGGTATCGGGCACAGCAATATATTTTTACGGAGGTCGGTTTACCGTAGGTATAAATAGCATATAGTTTATAACTCCTGGTCCTACTACGTACTGACTTGACGTGAAGATAAATTGTTTACATATAACATTTTATTAGGGGAATCACTATATGAATATATGTAATTATGACGCAACTTTATGGGTTATTTATATCCATGTTTTGTTAATAAGAGCGGAGGACAAATAGATTAAGGGTCTTGGTTTCATGGCGCAGACCTAAAGAGCTCTAAAAACTTTGATTAATTTATTAACTCCAAAACTTTTCTCATTACAAACTCATGTTGGGAACATTGTTATGATAATATTTAATCTCTCTATGATAATTATTATCTATATTTGTTTGCTGTACTAATTTTTGTTTCTGATAAATATATACAAAACTAATTCCTTATCACAGATTGTGTCTCTAGGAAAACCTTCGAAATACCCATTGGGGTAGAAGGCTAATAGGAAGAATTCTAAAGAAGAAAATAATGAGAAAAAATAATTAGTAATGTAATCTAAATATAACAAATACATTGTCCATGTAAAAATAACAAATGTTATTATTATGATTTTTATTAAAAATATTAACTATGTAATAATAACAAAATGAAGCGTGTAAAGTAAATTATGCTTTTGAAAATATTTATCGCAGGGTGGCGGCTCTGTTTAAGCCCTTTATTTTTTTTCAGATGTATTAAAATTTGCATAAAGGTGTGATGTTATAATAAATGTGTATGTTTTTTTCCGACGTGATGGGATCACGTAGTCACGCAGCGAGCTCAGTTCGCCGTCAGCGACGTCACGTACTAACTCAGTACCCCTCCGCCCATAAAGTCGGGAAATCGCTGCCCAAGCCACCTCTTGTCATCGCTTTTATATGTTGCGACAATAAGATACATAATTACATCCAGATTTTATTTATTATTTTTTGAAGAAATATTTTCATTCGTTTGTCGTATTAACTACGCAGTAGGTACCAGGTCTATTTACGATACACTACGATTATCTGAAATCACAGTAGATATTTCAATATTAGTTCAGCTGAAGCACTGCCTATCTTAATTACATTATGTTTGCATGAAAATGCTTTTCTTCAATAAACTAGAAAAATTAAATAAGAAATAATCTACATAAACTTATCCATCAAATTATTTAATCCAAATTTATAATGATTGTGAGTTAACAAACGCATATCTTATTCTAATATAGGTATTACATTTGTAAGTTTTCGCATTTAGGTAAGTTAGTAAAATTCTGCTGCTTCTAATGTATCACCCGAGTTATGTGACACGACAATACTAACGACAGAAGAACAAAAGTCAATAATGATGAATCGGAAGCTACGGAAGCTGTGAAACAGATTCATCTCAATCTACGACAAAGTTAGTAACAGGCTTCCACATAAGTGACAAAACGATAGATAGGTATTAGTTAAAATAAGCAAATGTACAACCTTACTTATCGACAAAAGTTATCATAATTTATTAAATCAGACCCTAGAGAAACGCATTCTAAGTTTATTTATCAGTTGTAATTGAAAGTGGATGACTTATTTGTTCACAAAACAACGAAGCCTTGTGACTGACGCCAAAATTCTTATACATATGTAATTTAATCTACGAGCATTATTAATATCTGAACTATTACTACTTAAATGTAACTGACATTAAAGAAAAATCTTTTACATAAACTATATGCATAAAAGACTTGTAAATTGCAGGAAAATAGAATTATTATTATTATCGAATTGAGAAAATGAAAGTACTAAATTGCACTTTTCTCCAATTCAATAAATTTCCTACTTCGAAGAGACGGGTATGATACGGGTATGATATTCACTTATAGAATTCCACGATTATCTTCGCCTAATAAAAATTCTTTATATAAAAAATCATAAGAATAATACATCAAAATATATATATATATTAAAATTGGAATATTTCCTGCGTTTTTCAATACTAAACCGCTATTAAGGGACGTATTCTACGTGTTCCTATACCTAAATGCCTAGTCGACTAATATGCATTCTGTGCCTAATTCTTTTTGACTAAAAGATTATAGGTATTCAAAATAATATTACTGTGTACTTATACATTTTGACATACTTGTTTCGTCAAATAATTTTGTCCGAGCATCAGCATCTCTTTAATTTAAAAAGTTAGCATATATTTGTGAGGCTGTTATAGAAATACCTATTATATCTGAATTTATTAATAAAATATAAGGCCCTATATAATTTAATATATATTTCAATAAATAAAAAAGTATAATTTATTTTATGCCAAAAGTTTTTGTTTGCGGTCCAGGAAAAATATGATATAATAGGTACATGAAGGTGATTTGATTAGTATTAAAATGCTTATAAAAAACATTACTTACTTTATAGCAGAAGGCTATTTCAGTATTTAAACAAAAATGATTTGTTTTGTATTTGTTAAAAATATTGGATATGTTTTAACATTACACTCTTTAAGTCGGTAATTTAAAAAACTTCGTTGTTTTTGTTTAACGTTGTTTTATTTTATTTTGAAACAAAAAGTAATCGCTTAATAATAATTCTAACTATGGTTTGACATATAGTACTCATACTCTGTGTACTATAAATTTCACCAACGACAAAAAATCGTCCAATATACATCTATAATATGGGCACACAATTTAAACAACCTTTCACGCCCCTCAGCCACAGCAACTTTCACGACTCAAGGACCCATCCAAATACTAAAACCGTAAACATATAAAGTGTATGTAAATAAAAATGTGTGTAAATATGGCAAGTCTAAGGCCATGCAAATATAACCCAGACATTTACTTCCTTTCAAAAACCTCCTATATTACATTTTGAACTTTAACCACTATAATCCAAATTTTCTTATTGCAAATTACAATGGATAGAGGAGTAGCACCTACTTGTAGGGTGGAGTTAATGCTAAAAGCATTCTCTTCCAAGCAAGCCTTAGAAACTAATAGGCAAGTTGAAAGTGCTACATGAATAATACATAATATAAGTGAATACCCACACGTTATACAAAATATATATACTTCAGTAGTCAACAAAACATAAAAATCTGTTCACATATTTTTATTAATATTACATACTGGTGATGTACATTTATACTCGTAGATCGCCATCTAGAAATATAAATAATCTTTATTCAAATAAAATATAACACTATATATAGTTAAATATATAAAAGATTAAGTTTATTTGAATAAAGATTATTTCTATTTCTAGATGGCGATCTATAAATGTACACTACTAAAAGTAAGTTGGGAAGTATATTCATCAAAATATTCTGAAAAATTTGATTCTAATTTCTCAACCCATTTTTACATGAAACATTAACGCACAAACAGACAATAAAACAGATTTCTTCTTATTGTCGATTTAATTATTTTATATATGTAAAGATAATAAAGAATATAAACGGGAAAGCAGGATAATCAATAGTTTTGCTGTCAGGTTAGTATTAATTATTATTTGAGATGAAGAACTAAGGACAGTAATTCTTCAGTAACTAAAACATTATCAACAAGATAATAAATTAAAGTAAACGCATTGATTACGTTTTAGAAAGCATTTATTATTTATTAATTTGGGAAGTTACGACTAGGTGTTTACACATAAATCTGTGTATACATATATAAGGGCTACATTTTATCCGCGTGAATCAATATGTCACGGTCAGGTGAAAGTCGCGAACACAGCTAATTCATAGGGCTACATGTATATACTAGATGACCCGGTGACTTCGAACGTACGGAGTATGGATTAATAATTTGTTAACTTAACATTTTTACTTAGATTTATTTATCAACCGATTGGATTGAAACAAACACTAAATGTTTAGGAATTTTCAGGAATTTTGTTACATCAGGTTTAAGTATATTCAAACCGATCAAGCCATTTCTAAGATGTAATTGTAATTGTAATTGTATGTTGGACTCCATTCTCCGCAATTAGCCTCTCATTCGGGCCGTTGTGCGTGTAGAGCCAGACTACTAAAGTAGCCAGCCAAGCTCCTCCCAAAAGCGCAGAAGACTCCTGGTGTCTTCGCAGGCTTCACGGAGCGACCTCACCGTTCCGAGGATTTGTTTTCGTTGTTGGGCCACTGCCGTGCACTCCAGGATTACGTGAGCAGCAGTTTCTTCAGCTTCAAAGTAGCCCCGACAAAGGGGGCTGTCTGTAGCATCAATTTTGTATAAGTGTTTGTTTAAGGAACAATGGCCCGTTATTGTCCCTATCATTATTTTGAGGTTTTGTCTATCTAGATTAAGTAGACGTGTTGTTAACCGATGGTTCGTTTTTGGAATTGCCACTTTAGATTGTTTGCAATCAGTGGTTAGGTTCCATCTTTGGTTTTGTATTTCGGTGGATCTCTGGCGAATCCAGGTGCGAAGTTGCGAGAATGGTATTGGCATAAGCGGGAGGGGGCCTGCAACCACCATACCGGATCCTACTCTCGCTAGTTCGTCCGCGGCGTCATTGCCATATGATCCGCTGTGCCCCTTTATCCACTGGATAATTACTCCGTTGTGCGTTGCAATTTTTTCCAGGGCAATGTGGCACTCGATTATTAGTTTGTTGTTGGATTTTCTGTTCTGTAGTGCTTTAAGCACGGCTGCACTGTCCGATATGAATTTAATGTTGAAATTGTTGACCCCTAACCTGTACACGGCTTTTGCTGCCTCGGTCAGGGCAACACATTCGCACTGAAAGATCGAACTGTGTTTGCCGAGCGGTATAGATATGTTCATGTTGAGGTCAAGGGAATGTGCCCCAGCCCCTGAACCGTTCTGTGTTTTGGAGCCATCTGTGTATATGCGTAGTTCATTTACTGCAGATTGGTCCCTTTCCTCCTCCTTCAATTGTATTTGGTATTTCCTGTTGAACGAGTGGTATGCTTGAGTTCTGTCACACGGAGCGGCAATCAAGGGTTCATATTCGATTGCTTGGTTCAGGATGGTTGTGTGAGAACTGTAATGGTTCTAAGATGTACTGACAATAATTACAATTTTTTTTAAACCCGGTAAAATACATTATAACACAATTTTTTAAATGTATAGGCACGCCTTGTTTACGAATTTATTATATGTGTGGTTAAGCACGAAACAATAACATATTGTTATTCCTATATCTGCTAGTTTATTGTTATAGGTATTGTTCTGGTCCGCTAACATTAATGACCTCTTCCGCCAGCGTAAATAGCTCTTTTATAGGAGGTTTGGTGGTTGTACGCATATACTAATGGAACACAATACGGAATAGTAACTGCGAAGATATCTGAAGGTGGATAAACTAAACAAATAATGTAGTACCTAAAATAAAGGTTACTACTTAGTTTAGGTACCAAGGAACAATGTAAAAAGTAAATATTAAATGAAAAACAATAATATTATTATTAATGAGAACTGATAGATTAACAAAACCTAACATCCAATTCATACCTACATATTGGTGGATTATCTGAAATATATATTACATTATATATACTGGGTATGTAATATGTTATCTGTGGTTATAATAATTGATTATCTGAAATTTTAAAACTTTCTATAAAAAATTCATAATTATTCGTTTGTGAATACTTTAATTTTTTAATAATATAAGTTAGTTTATTCTCAAATTATGGTATAATCCAGTGAAATTCGGATTCATATTTATAAATACAATTTTATATTATATTATGTATATGAAATTCAGATTTTGCGGTTATGGAAAACAACATAAATTAATCTAAAACATGCAGTTGCTTTGAAACGAGTTTGTCATCGTTATCGGGTAAGTCAGGACGACAAACAATACATATTAATTGAAAATTTGCCCCCGCTAGCCCTTAGCCAGTAAGCGACGTTTTACGAATATGGACTCCCATTATGCAGGTAAAGTATTATGATGCATTATTCATGCCCAAACCCGTTGTCTGATATATATTCTTAGCATTATCCCTGCATATCCCGTAAGGCACGCAGCGTGATAATATGCAAGTAGACTTTTTCTATTATGTAATAGAATACCGGCGGATACAATCTTGTATTAAAATGATCTATGGTCAAGGTTTGATGTAATTGTAAAGTTACTGTTTTACTTATTTAATTACCTGTATAATTGATTTCCATTTTAAATTAAACAAACCTAAGCCTTGGTGTGTAAGTATGTAAAAATGTGTTAACGAAAAATAAGACTATGAGTCCTCTTTCTCGTAAATCGCCTTATAGTATACGCGCAGGTCCGTTATATTGTTATAATTTTTACTTTACGCCGCCAGTTTGTAATTCTAGTAACTAGTTTAAACGAAAACTTTAGTAAGGATTATGACACTACTTATTAATGTTTCAAATATGCTATCCATATGCTTGTGGTACAACATACGTCCAGTCATGAAAAATTCAAGATAAACATTTTTTTGGCGAAAGAACAAAAGTGGCACTTGGTACTTTATAAAGAGAGACTTATGATACTTTTTAATAAGAAATTATATTATGTGCTAAATACGTGGAAACGTATATGTATATTATGTACATTTTATGTAAATGAATTTACTAAATCCACTATGAGTGATTTTCGTTAAAATTAATTGCTCCAGAAAGTTCTAAATTCAAAATTAAATTGTAAAATGGTAAGTGTCAATCCAATAGTTTTCGTTTCGATAAACTTGGATAAACAAAACACCACGTATGTAAATGTGGTTAGTGGTACCTAACACTTCAGTTCATTAGTCTATTTTATGTACCTATTATTAGATATTACCTAACATTTCTACTTTTGTAATCATATACGGTAATATTAACACATGATGAATTCTGACGTAATTATGAATAGACTATTGTTTTTCAAAGAAATACTTTATTTTTCTCTTTATGTTACTTACTTTACTTTTATCGTTTTCTCTATATTTTACTAATTTAATATTGTTCAAAATATTTGTTTTGTTTGTCTTTATTTATATATTTAATTAATTTCACTATTACACCATTAATTTTTATAAGATTTAATATAAACCTTTACAGCTTTAATAAGTATAAACAAAATCGGATATAAATATATTATATTTTATTTATATATTTTATTATATATAGGGAAACCAGTCTAACTAATAAATTTCAGAAAATTATAGTAACTATTATGTACTTATTACTAGTCCATCCACTATTGTCTAAGCATCAATAGAATAGTTTATAAATTTACCGGTTCTCTCTATTCAGAGCGTTACAATATTATATTATGTTATCGATACACGGACTTAGTTTATGCATAATAATTATTCGTATCTAACCAACGGACAGCTGATAAGTATGACTTTCACAAAATTTAACTTTTTAATTCGGTATTTTGATATTGTCTCAGTAACGTACGTCTGTCATTTGTTAAATTAACTAAAATAATTTAGGTATATCTATAATATCGTTAAGATATGTCCATAAAGAGCTATTGTTTCTCTAAGTAGACGGGTAGCAGTTGACTCAAGCTAATTTGTTGTCGTCGAATCAAATTTCCGTCATTAATAGAAATGTCACTCAATCCAATACAAAGTGAATGTATATATAGTGAAGTTGTATTATTGGAATTATAATTTAGAGAGCGCGGCAAATGTCTAGGTAAGTAGACTGCCGTGTTCTATTCTATCAATAACAAAGGTTGGGCCGTTTTGGTCCTTTTTGTGTGAGTCTCGCGGCTCGAGCACAATGAGATAAGGCGTTTATAAAGAATCTTCTCCGTGGGTCAAATCGAAGGCTTATCGTTATTATTTATCTTCGAAACACATTTGTAGAAGCTTCTCTTTATATCCCTTTATTTTACATGACGACGCTATATGTACAAATTGATTTCCTGGGATAGAAGCTTCATAAAAAACAAGCAGCTATGGTTCGACGATTTTATTACTCATAGTGTCTCTATTTTCAATCATTATTTCAGCAAATAACAGTTAATACTATTCTCTTAGGAGCTTTTCTTATGGACTAGTTCTGCTGAGCTCTTCATTGCAAATTCTATCCCGTATACAAACACTCTTAGCCACTTGGAATGACCAGCTCTCTTATATGGTTTAGATTTATAAAGTATGTTTTGTTTCCTTAAATTATCACTAACAACATGACATTGTTATAGCAGTAATAAAAATTTTACACATTTTATACATCTTGGTGATGGCGATCAAACACAATATATTGTATATGTTAGACACATATAAAAGCCATAATTTATCTAATAAGTAGCTGCACCTAAAATCATTACTCAGATATCGTCTTATTGCCCAAAAAAATTACTTTATTTACTTTATATTTACTGATAGTAACAACACAATTTAGTTGACGGCAATATAAATAAAAAATCTATATAATAGAAATTCCATACTTTAGTGTCTACATACATTGTTGTTTATATATCGCATGACACTACATGTGTAACAAATATTGCACTTAATTCTTTGTTATTTAATAGAGTAATGGCAGTGAGTGCCACTTCATCTACGATAGCCCGATTGTAAGTGGTAACCTACATGACATGGCCGAGTGCAAAGTGTAACACAGTAGTTTTAAATATTTACAATGTTTTTATCAATTTATTGTTTTCTTTGACAACTTACATAGCAATTTTATTTTTAAACTAGCTGTTAACGCGGTTTTACCCGCGTGATATTTAAAGCCTATATGTTATTCGGATCTACAAGCTATATTACTGTAAAGTTTCATCAAAATCCGTTTAGTAATTTTTAAGTAACAAACATCCATCTATACTCACAAAATTCCGCTTTTATAATTTTAATAAGACATTTTGATCATGGTCTCTGTATCAATCTCTTGTCTGGTATAAAGTTGAAACAATGATTGTAATGAAGTTACTGGCTACTGTGTATCAGAGTATAGTACCTTTTAGCAAAAAGACACTACAAAATAAAATTTTATTATAAACTATATTTTGTAAAGTGTTTTTTTGTTGCTCATGTCTGTAAGTGATATATATAGGTAATTAACAGATACAATAGTGGTAACCACTATTCTGTACCGTCATTACTATGTTTATCATTTCAGTAACAATATTCAGTAACATATATATTGAAATTTAACTAAGACTGACTAAGACAGACTTTTGTGCTGTCTATACCTTGACATTAATATAAGACAAAATTGACGAAAAAGGTAGTTTTGAATAAGTAGGCAGATACTGAGATACCTAATAGATAATACCTATTCAAAATGAGGCAACATCAACTTTTATTGCGTCGTTTACAGTTTTACAATGCATACAGTGAATAGACAGACAAAAACTTGTATCTTTTGTGTTCGAAAAGACCCTTCAAGTAGGGCGCTTCACCCCTCGGTTATAGTAATCTACGCCTTACAAGACTTGCTATATACCTACTTAGAGAAATACATCGATGCTTAAGTAGTTTTTCTTATATTTTAATAGAATTTCAGAGGACCGATTATACAGTTAAATTAATTACATTTTACCGAAATAGACTTTTTTGCCTCAAACCTTAACCTTCAACTCATTCATTCAGAATTTACCTATACATTTTTATATTTAATAATCATTAAAGTAATAATCATCATAATTATGTAATCTTTAGATTACATAATTATGAACTTTTAATTTTGTATGTAAAAAAACTTTAATAAATTGTAGATAAAAACCGACCATGTGAGCATTTAAACAAAAAAGCCGCCCATTTTTTTAAGCAAAATAGTATCTTATTTATCCTAATATCGTCCAGGTTATATATTTCCTCTGGGGATTTCCCTCTAATTGGTAAGTATTATGAGACAAAATCATTTTTATTGTTTATTGTTACGATTATATTTCAGGTAAATTTCAGTACGTATTTATGAAATTATTGCGCATGTAACAAATAAATATATTTTTGGATTTAATTTCCGATGGGTAAATCTTATGAGAGGAGACCTCACCAAAAGGGAGATAGCCACCCGCCTTGTAGGCAGTTGACAATAAATTTGTAAATAGCAAAGTAATTA